CAGAGAAGGAGCGCAGGCGGCGGGCCGGGCTGTGCCCCTTCCGAGACAATCTTCTGCGCTAAGGTTGTTAACCCCAACCCTGCAGAGACCAGCCTTGTTTTAACGTTTAGAATGGTCACTCCTGGTGTGGCTTTGGATGGTTACAGTAACTGTGCCTCCCAGACGACAACTGTGTAGGAAACTGAGCTGGTTTTCAGGATTATAGTACAGATGTGGGACCTTCTGCTTGCTTCAGATTTCCAAGCCTCTGCAATTGTTTGTTTGGTGATAGTTTGTTTGGTCCCTTGCTAAATGTGGCAAGGTGTATTTTTACTGAAGTACTTACTTACTTTACTTAAGTAAGTGCGGTTAGCAGACTGTGAAGACAGGTAAAAAGTGTTTATATATGCTAGCATTTTCACCAACTTTTTTACTACTGATAGAATTATTTCTGGATGCTCACTTGTGGCGTTGTGTAATATAGCTGTTATGTTCAAAAAAGGACTTTCTGTCTAAAGGTATTTGACGTTATCATGCACAACCTTTAAATTACCATCTTGAAAGGCACATGCTTAAAGACCATGATGAGGGGAGCGTCTGCCAGGCCAGCATCAGCATAGCTTTAGTGAGACAGCACTTCTGAACACTGCTGGCAGAAATCTGGTCAAATCTGTGCAGTTTTTTTTTTTTCTTCTTGGCTTAATAGGTGGAAAGTGCACAGCTCGTCAATATCTTCTAATATATTGAGTTAATAACCAGTTCGGGTGACAGCATGCTGCTCTGTTGCTTGCTTACAAGCAGTTTGAACTGAATATTAAATCATAACTGAAACACTAATCATCATGAAATACTCAGGATGGATATATTATCACTAATTAGGCATTACTATATATTCTTTTTTGGAAGCTTAATACAGTAGCTGTACTTCACAGAGGAGTAACTGTGTAACCGTATAAGTGGCTGGTGATGTAAGAAATAAGTGGTGAAGTCAGAGCCACATTTGTTTTATCCTTGATTACTCTTTCATTAAAATACCAACGCCCCCACTGCTTAAAATCAGATGCAGTGTGGATATTTGTGTCACGGATGGGCACACACTGACACTTTTCCACTCGTAGCTAGATTTTCTTGCTCATTTGCGAGTTCTGGCAAACTACAGCAGTGACAGCCAATGCGTTACTTTCCATATGGTTTAAACTAAGAGTTTTTGGGTAGTACATTTGGGATGCTGTAAAAGCTGCACATTTGTAACTTTAGTCAGTTATAAACACGGTGATTTTTCTTTTTTGGGGATGAAGGGACAGCAAAGGTGTTGAGGATGTGTCATATTTGGAAGGAGTGGGCTTGTTTTGTTCTTGTGTGTTCTCTATGACGTGATTCTGGTGATTAAAAGAGAATCATAGGGTGTTTGTTTTTCTTTGCGTAGTTTTGCTAAATTAAAACTAACACCATAAATCCATTAGCTTGATTGATGCTATTATCTGTATGGTTGGATAAGGTTGTTAGAAAAACTTCTGCAGGTCCTTCTGGTTTGCTCTTTAGGTGTGTAGGTGGTATGTATTCCTGATTGTCTATGGGGAACATGTTGGAAAGTTAAAGCAGATCTTGTGCTACTGACATAAATAGTTTGCTGACAAAGTGATGTTTCTTTTCTTTTTTATTATTACTGTTTTCTAGAAACAACATTTAAAACTGCGTTCAACAATTGTCCTTGTGTTTTGAAACCCTATCTTCTTGTTCTGAAATATACAATTTGCAGGACTAGTGGCCCTTTGGCAGATCTTGTTTTGCATGGTTTTATGATACCTCACTAGTTTTACAGGATGCATCAGAGGACAAATGTAAACTACCTTTTGTTTAAAAAACGTGTTCCACTTAAACTTAATTTTATTTTTTAAAAGGTTACATCCCAGTCATAATTTATGTTGCAATGCTAAGATGATCTTTAAATTAGTGTCAGCGTTTTTTGCCTCACTGCCTTCTATGTTGGATTTAGTCCATGTCAGAAAGCAAGTATGAATTGTTAAATTACTGGTGTTTCAGCCCAAAAAATCTAACATTGTCCAACAGAAAAATCTTGAAGTCTAGCAGAGTTTCTAGTATCTTTTACACATAATAGGTTAATGAAGAAATTTACACGCTTTCTTGTGGAGATTCACTATAGAGGGCAGCCTGATAATAACAGTAATTCCTGTGTTTGTCCTCAAAACCGGAAACCACTTGCTGCTAGTTTAGGGGAAAAGGAAGAGTGGAAAAGTTTTAATTGCTGAAGGGCAGCAGAATGAGTTTGAAAAGAGAATTCATAGCTATCTAATCTTAAACCAACTCCAAAATTTGATTTTTTTAAAATTTTTATTAATCTGGCCTTTAGTATAGAAAGTGAAAAGTCATGAAGATATATTCATAGAATATGTAGGTGAGAAGGCAAACTGAACTAGAAATGTCAAAGGTACAATAGAAATCAGTTTAAACCTTTTCAAACCTGATACATGAGAATCTTCAATTTTTTTTTTTCTCTTAGAAGTAGTTATTAGCAGTGTTTCATTAGTTGTGGTCAATGCCCATGTGTGTGAAGAATAAAATACAGTATATTAAATTGAAAGATACAGCACCTGTGATGGTTTTCTTTTGTTAGGTTGGTAAGTGGACCGAGCACCCCAGTGAAGTGAGGGAGCAGCTGGGTTTCATTTAGTTCATGCGACTTTTTGCAGGAGGGGAGGAAGTAGTTGCATAGTCTGGCGAAGGCCACCAGTAAGATATTAAGGTGATTACTTCTCCACTAATGCGAGGTGAGAGGTTGGTGCACAACTGCCTGACAATGGATGTCTCCAGTGTAAGATTATTTCTGTTAAAGCTGGTCTGGAGGTTGACAGTTCTTGGATGTGGGACCTCGTGTCATGTCCTTGTCATGTCATGTCCTCGTGTCATGACCTTGTTACCAGTCTCTCTCCAAAACCCGGTTTCTGTGCAGATGACATCCTCTTTATGTCTTTCGGGGAGGCAGAGCTTGTGCCTAACACAACAGCCGATATTTTTGCAGTACTGCCCAGTTCCAGCACGTTTGCTTGTGATTTGAGATTTACACTGGCTTCCTCTGTTAGCTGAGTTTTCCCGTTGTCCTGTAAAGTTTGGAATGTTTCTTCTCTATATGGTCTTTTTGTGCTATAATGCCACAGCATTATTTAGCGGAGTTACTCAACGGAGAGAGTACTGCAGAACATGGGGAAAGGATATTCTGTTGTTGCATGAAAAGGGATTCAGTCCTTTAATGCTGAAGTAGTTATATAGTAGTACTTGTAAAGCAGCTGTGTCATCTAGCAAGGGAATAATTCTATGTGAGAAGGAGGCTACTGTAGTTCTTTTTGACCAGTGAGTGTCTACTTAATGTAATTATTTATTTTGTGTGTTGGTTTTGTTTTGTTTTTTTTTTTCTGGATGCAATAGCTGTCAGCATTTTTAGATTTTTATTTTTTTTTTTAATTAAGGAAACATCAGTGTTGGAAGCCTTTAATACTCTTTAGGTGTCTTGCCCTTTTCAAGTATGTTGGTGCAAATAGGTCTACATCCAGTTACATGGGGTCTGGATGGAATGTACCACTTTGTATTTTCACTTCTGCTGTTAAGTAACATTAGCAGGCTTTCAAATTTTCTCCTGTTACTTTTATGTACACAATCATAATTGACGGCTACTTCAGAGAAGTGATAATACGCAATAACGAAGCTGAGTATAACTGACTTGGAGCACCAGGTACTGCAGTATGGAAAATAAATTATGGAATGGTAAAAAAAATATTGTGTTAATATTCAGATATTCCATAATACTTACATGAGTGCTCATTTTTATAAATAGGCTGTTACATTGGAGTTTACGTAGTGCTGCAATACGTGATAGCTGTGCCAGCACTAAAACTGGAACAATCTTGTTAATACTCTGGTATGAAGTGAATTGTATCGACAATGCTGTATTCTCTTTGATTTGTTTGAGCTTCTCTAAGCAGCTTCTTTTCCCACAGAAATGCCTGAAAAACGAAAAGCTTCTCTGAATTGGGAGCATATGTCAAATTTCATTTTGGGACAGACACTAAGTTTCTTCTGTTCTTCTGTGAACTTCAGACTTTGGACTGTGGAAAGTTAAACTAGTTCAGGCAAAGAAGAGCTCTGTGCCTGTGTAAAGGGGAAAGCTTTGGCAACATCGCCCATTTGAAGTGGAAGGAAACAGTCCAAACAACGATTTGAGGATATTTCTGACTTTGATAAAGTGTCATTTCCCCCTGAAATTGGTTAAGGCTTCCCATTACCTCCCACATAATCTTCTACATTGAACACTCTTTTGGCATAGTTCACTTGCAATTTAAAAGAAATTTAATTAGTTTTAAAGGTAACAAAATAAACGAAACTGTGAACCTTTTAATAATAATGGAAAGTTAGATTGGTTTTTATAGCTTCAGGTAACCTTTTTTCTCTGTTCAAGTTTGCAGGTGAAACTAGTTAACAATTGTTTTGGGTACTGATTTCATTTTGGTTAGCGAACAGAATTAGCAGGGCATTATGAGGAAAAAGGAGAGCCGTGACCTTTAATTCATGAATGCTGAAAAACAGAACCTGCCAAAAGTAACCATAACCAATCCTGTCTAGGTTAGCAAAGCCACTTGTGTATTTCTGATGTAAATCTGCAAACAACTGTATATCTATGCCAGATTATTAGCAATGAGACCTCTCGGCCATGCCCTGAAAGCTTTTTCTTTTGGTAGCCAAATAGTTACAGTAGACCAACCCACAAAAGATGGTGTTCAGAGAACACAGTGGAAATCTTTCACTTTTGCTTAGATGGCATATGTTTAAGTCGGTGTACTTTCAAGTTTGTATTTCTCAAGACTATTCCTGTGAAAGCCTACAGACTTCTGCAGGATTTTTCATTACCTAAAGGAACAGTATTGGACTGAATGATTTGAAAAATGCTGACTTTTAAAACATCTGAGTCTCAAATCTTTATTTCTGTGTCTGTTCCTTTTGTTTCAGGAGCTGTCGAAGTTTCAGTCCGAAGTCCCATTGCCTGCTGGTTTAGTGCTATGCTTCATTGTTTTGGTGGATCAGTTTTGTCTTCACTGATGCTTGCAGAACCTCCAGTAGCGTTTCTGGCAAAGGGCACGAATATTCTACTGGCATCTTCGGTCTGGTAAGCAGCCACAATTGATTTAGATGAGTAGTGTCTGAGGAAGCTGTACTTTGTGAACTGATATTATACCATCGAGCTTCCATGCAAATCAGAAGCTTAACTAAATGTTATGGGTTTGGATGCTGTCTCTTCATCCAGAAAGTCACTGCAGCAAGATAGGTGTTATGATCCTATTCTATAAGAGTAAAATGTTCCTAAGAGAGCAACTCTTATGGACTATTGTATAATGAAATGCTTGATCATTAGGCTAGACTTACTTTAGATTTTTATAACATTCCTGGTCGAACAGCTGAAAACACTATTTTGGAATAAAATGGATTTCAGTTACTGCTTTTCTGGGTACAGATAAATCATAAATGCAGTAGCAGCTCTTGAAGACCAGAAGCTGACTGTGGTAAAAATTTTGGACTTTTCTATAGTTAGGGATCTAAGACACAAATCTGCTTTCACTTCTGTAGTTTCTGCTTCCTGACACAATTTTTTTTCCCCCTGTATTTTCCCCTTAACCAAATGGTTGGACATTGTAGTGGAAAGTAGTAGAGAAAGTCAGGCTTGTGAATAAGGCAACAATTTGACCTGTTTTGGAATTAAATAAAAAAATTGCTGGAATATAAATGTGGCCTTCCTGTGGAGTTAATTTGTTCCAGAAATTGATCTTTGAAGAAATCCTCAAACTTAACAAAATTTGTGAGCAGCAGTGGGTTTTCGAATTTAAAAAATCTCAATTCCTATCTTAGAGGTGTTCTCTGCTTTAAATCCTTTAGTATCCTTTCCTTGTAGCCCCTTAGGTTTTATAATTAAAGAGAAAGTAAGTATTTCGATCTGTGTATGTCTATATATTAGTCTTCTGGTCTTCATATTTCATGACTTCATGACTTCAGCAAGTTTGCTGACTACACAAGACTGGGAGGAGCGGTTGACACACCAGCAGGCTGTGCTACCATTCAGAGAGACCTGGACAGGCTGGAGGTCTGTGCCGGGAGAAATCTTACGAAGTTCAACAAGGGCAAGTGTAGAGTTTTGCACCTGGGAAAGAATAACCCCATGTGCCAGTATAGGTTGGGGACTGACCTGCTGGAGAGCAGCGTAGAGGAAAGGGCCCTGGGGGATCTAGGGGACAGCAGGATGGCCATGAGCCAGCAATGTGCCCTCATGGCCAAGAAGGCAAATGGCATCCTGGGATGGATTAGAAAGGGAGTAACTAGTAGGTCGAGATAGGTCCTCCTGCCCCTCTGCTCTGCCCTGGTGAGGCCACATCTGGAATATTGTGTCCAGTTCTGGGCCCCTCATCTCCAGAGAGACAGGGAACTGCTTGAGAGAGTCCAGCTCAGAGCCACAGAGATGATGAAGGGAGTGGAACATCTCCCTGATGAGGAAAGGCTGAAGGAGCTGGGTCTCTTTAGCTTGGAGAAGAGGAGGCTGAGGGGTGATCTCGTAAATGTTTATAAATACGTCAAGGGGGAGTGTCAGGAGGATGGAGCCAGGCTCTTCTCAATGACGTCCAATGACAGGAGAAGGGACAGTGGGTACAAGCTGGAACATAGGAGGTTCCACAGAGATACTAGGAAAAACTTCTTCACTCTGAGGGTGACAGAGCACTGGCACAGGCTGCCCAGGGAAGTTGTGGAGTCTCCTTCTCTGGAGACATTCAAAACCCGCCTGGACGCGTTCCTGTGTGACCTGCTGTAGGTGATCCTGCTCTGGCAGGGGAGTGGACTAGATGATCTTTCGAGATCCCTTCCAACCTGACATTCTGCGATTCTGTGATGTTGCAATGGAAGATGGTAGATTTCGTTTAGGCAAATGGGTGAAGTGGATAACATGCAATAAACCATGCAGCATTAAGGCTTATAGAAACTGCTTATGCTTCATAGTAGTCTGATGCGGGCAACCAGCACGACTGCTCGTTTTAACAAGTGACATGGGTTACGAGTACACATAAACAGAACATGATTTCTTTTGAACTCAACATGGTCAAATGTGATTTGCTTTGCACAAACAGAATGAGCTTTTAATAGGGAGCTGTGAATGTTATGAAACCTTTTAAGCTTTCAGGTTTATAATGAGCATAATGACTTTAATTCTCAGCCCCAAATCATGTGAAACTAAATTCCCCAAGCCATAAAACTGGGGAATAAAAGAGGTTTTTCTGCACCTGAGCGGTGCTCCTCGATAGTCTGTGGGACAGCGACATCTGCTGTGAGCCCGTGTTGCCTGCGGTGGGTCTGCACTGCTGGATTCAGTCTTGTTACCTGTGCTGCAGGGTGGTAAACCCACATTCTGCAGTTGTAAATTAATTCTTCTTGGTGTTGTCTGCTGAGTACGTGGCTTAAATGGCTGTTTGCAGTAGCCGTTTTCTCTATACATCTTTGTATCAACTAAGGCTTGGTTGCGTGCAAAGGCAATTGACTTTATAATGGGGGAAAAGAGAATAATATAGGAAGTTCAAAAATAAAGCTAGAGCTGAACACCAGAGCAGTGGTTAGCTATTAATGTAAATTCCAGTAATTTTCTTATATGTAAGAAATAGACATGTTCCACTCCAGGAGGTTGTGAAGAGAAGCTTTAGCAGTTTGCATTGGCAAGGTACTATATCCACTGCAGAAGAAGAAAATATGTAAGTGGGTCAGGGCTTCAGCTGAACTTTAACTTTCTGGGTAGAAAGCTTTCTAGCATTTGTCTGTAAAGGATAAGCTTTTAGTTTTTTTTTTAAAAACCTTCCAAACTCCAAGTGACATCCTGATTTATATTCTGTAAGCATGAAGCATGACTCTTCCTAGTTGTAGTTTCTTCTAGTACTTCTAATGAAGTAAACTAGATGAGAGATGCATCTCTGCATTGCAGCCTGAGTAAACAGGAGAAGAATACACCCTTAGAAGTTCTTGTTAGAAAGGATTGAACTCATAAACCTAAGCCAACAGTCAAGTATCTTTTCTTTTTTTTTTTAGAAAATGAAAAGTACCCTTATTCTCTTTTAAAAGCTTTCTCTGCTTTTACTTAATTATTACTGTCTTATTCTCATGCTGAAATAATTAGGTACTTAATCTTGATATTTTTTTTTGAGACCTTGATTGTTTCTGTAGAAAATGAATTTTGTTTCCGAATGAAGAGATAAAACACTACATAATCTGACTTTTAAAATTTACTCTCAACTTAAGATTTCATTATTACACACCTTTAACTTTACTTTGTTTTTAAAGCAAGTTGGTAAAAGATACTATTAAATTTTGAGTACTGTACTTCCAGAGCTTCGAAAGAGACATGCTTGTAATTGGCAAGCTGGAAAAGCTAGAATTGATGGTTACTAGCATATGAAGTGTGTTTGAAAATAACTGTGCGTTTCACCTGGTGTGACACTAACTAGTGGTGGCATTCTTCCTGAATCATAGAATCATAGAATCATAAAGCAATTCAGGTTGGAAAAGACCCTTGGGAGCATCAAGTCCAACCACTGACCCTACACTACAAGGTCAACCCTAAACCATATCACCCGACCCCACATCTAAGTGACACTTGAACACATCCAGGGATGGCGACTCAACCACCTCCGTAGGCAGTCTGTTCCAGAGTCTGGCCACTCTTTCTGTGAAGTTATAAAGTTGCGTGTACCTATCAGTATGAAAACATGGTGTCAGCATATAAGTTACCGCCCTGTTGTAATCCTATAAACCCCACCTCCCAAAACAAGAAGACCCAACCAACAAAATGTAGCCCACAAAAAACCAAACCACACAGAATCAGTTAGACATTAATTTGAATTACAAAAACATGATATGTAAGAAATAGAAGAGTTGGTAAAATTTAAAGCTGTTTCTCATGTGCTTTAGTGGACTCTTCTCTGAGGCAGTGAGGCAATAAGAGCAATTTCAAGAAATGGTAATGATTTTGGTGCAAGAGCTAAAGCATGGTCAAAAGCATTTCAAATTTGTTCCAATATGTCTATCACATAAGACAGTGAGTTATAAACAGTATGTCACGTATTGCTAGTCATATCCCAAAGCACCTTTAGAAGTTATTAGGAAGTTAATTCCTTAGCACAAAACTTTTGAGTGCTTCTAATATTTGGGTTTTTTTCTCATGATTTTCAGGTATTTTGTGTTTTACTGCCCACAAGATGTATTCTACCGATGCTTTGCCTTTCTGCCCATTCGCCTTCTGGTTGCAGGAATGAAAGAAGTGACTAGGACTTGGAAGATAACAGCTGGCGTTGCACATGCAGACAGTCACTTCAAAGATGCCTGGTTTGTCATGGTAGCTGTAGGCTGGGCCAGAGGTAACATGCATAACATCTTTTTCTGATGGATTGTGATGTTTTGGAGCGGTATTTAAATGGCTAGCCCTTCAGCACAACTGTAGCACCATTCCTTGCTCTACTGGGTATGATAATTCTAATACAGTCTGTTATCCCCTCAAGGGAAAAAGCCTGTGCAGCAGTTTTTCTGCCTGGATTAAGGGTGACATTGAATATCTTTGAGGGAAGTTCATCTTATTCCATCAGAAGGTCTTGTGGGGACTTGTAGGATGGGCAGTTGATGGCAATAAAGAAGGAGATCTCCTGTTTATCTTCAGTGCTATTACTAAACTTTCCAAAGTTTCCTTAGAGCTGTTTTCCTTGTGTGTGGCTGAAGAAGCAAACTTATTTTCTCAGCTTTTTGGGTGGTAGCCTTTAGATTATTTTAAACACAGGAATGAACCTTCTTGCCTGCCTGGTGTTTTGGAATATGACTCTGGAAGGTACTTTTCCTAGCAGCTGTAATGGTAGTCACAACATTACAGCCACTTCACAAAGTAGTAGTGCAGTTCTTATTTCTATTTGTTTGATTCTCTTCTGCTTTGGGAAACAACATATGTTAATGTGATGATCTGATATATTCTTTTCCTAGGTTATAAGACAAATCAGTCTCATTGGCAAGAGTGTCTTAATGCCTCCTTATGTCTTGTATTCTTTTAATGTAAAAATACTTGACCAGTTTTCTTGCAGAGAGTCCTTGTAGCTTGCAGATATGGTCTCTGTACTCAAACGATAATGTGAAGAATATAATGATATAAGCCACTCTGGAGATTTATTTTGGCAATTCAGGCATTTGTTTGTGGTGGTGGGTGCATTAGCTCAGATGCTGTCACATAAAGGTAAACCTAAGGTTCTTGTTAAGTAGCTAAACCTCTGAAGTTTCATGTTGGTCACTCAAGTCATGCATGTGTAAAAGACTGGATCAGTCTCTTTAAGCCTGAGCTTTGGCTGCCACGTTTGGCACCTGGTGTAGTGAGTTTTGCTGGCAGCAGTAATAGGTCACGAAGTAGTGGTAGCAGTCCATAGAGGCTTATCGTAAATCTTTGCAATTTTAGGAGCTGGTGGTGGCCTAATTTCCAACTTTGAGCAGCTAGTGAGAGGAGTGTGGAAACCTGAAACCAATGAACTACTGAAGATGTCCTAGTAAGTTTTTAAAAAAGACTCCAACATTTTAACTGTTGCTTTGCTAACTCCCTTTGTTGGCACTTTTAGTGGTTCAGACTTGAAAAACACTGGGACATGTTTGTACTCGGTGTTTTGGTGTGTATTTGTGAAAGAGTGGTATCTTTGGCAATTTTAATAGATGTTTTAGTCATTTTAGGTTCAGTGCACAAGAATGCTAAATGGGAAAACAAGTCAACAAAAATTACTTGGAAGAAAGTATGAAGGCAGTAGGAAGTTGCTGGGAAGCAGTATTGACTCAATTTGTCTTACAGGGACATGGTCTTCTATCCAAAATGAAAGGGGAGTGGTACCAGAAGTAAACAAGCAAAGTCTACATTCTTGGTGCGTGTTCTACACCTCACTAAGGTGGCTTCCTTCAAGTGTTGTCACTCTTTCTCTGCCAGAGCTTTTTCCTCCATAGATATCAATTGTTTGAGAAGGTGCAAACTGATTATTCACTATCGCCAAAATGCGTGGCAAGATAGGAAACCTTATTTCCCTTGCAGAAGCAAAGAATGGGAATATTACATGGCTTCTGGTTTAGTCTGTACAGTAAAATAAGATTTGAAACAGGCTAGGCGGCCGTAAGCCATGATTGTAAAACAAGATTATCTCACTGTGGTAATTTCCTAAAATTCATTTGATCTTTCTCATGTTGGATCTTTTTAAAAAATAAAGTATTATATCTAAAGTTATCTTGCTTTTCTGCAGCCACTCTTAGCAACAGAATTACAGAAGAGAAATTTGTAGCCTTTCCCTTGGAAATATTTCAACTGTGTGTTGGCTTATATTAGTTGTTGGCCTTCTCTGAAATTCCAGGTATTTAGAATTTCTCTCTCTCTGTCATTGCCTAAGTGACAGTCATGAAAGCAAGCTTCCAGAAGGAACAGGTCACTGTCAATAATAGCACTGTAAGCCCAAATAACATGGTATTTATAAGTGCAACATTAGAGGAGTGCTTACTGTCTGTGGCAGTGCTTGCATATATTCTCCTTCTCCATGGTTGTTGTGTCTCTAAGTAACGAAAAAAGGGTTTGGCTTTTTAAATTTTGTTTAGTATATAAAGCCTAAAAATATTAAAGAGAAGTAAGATACGAAATTAAATGGATAAAACACTCTGCAAATGTGGATGAGGTGCCTGTATACACAGAGTTGTTTTTTGGACTTTGTAGCGGGAAGGTGATGCAGTAAATCTCTTGAGTTACTGAAATGACAGTGAAGAATGTGCCTACACTAGATGCTCTGTGATAACAGGAATGTCACCTGTACATGTCATGTGTAGATGCAGATTAAGAAATGCACAGTATTTTTCTGCCAGTTTATTAACACTCTCTCTTCAGACAACTTTAGATAACTGACCAAAGTTCTCTTGTTTTCTGGCTGCATACCCAGCAAGGGTTTACCAGCACAACAAAGATAGCTAGAAGATATAAATCTCTGCATCTCTCAAGTCCGCACAGCTATGTTGGCAAAACCTGGTAACAAAGGCCTGGCTCAAGTCAAGTATAAGCTCGCTACAACCGTGGAACTGATGGAGTGTCACAGTGGACCAAGACTTGGACTATATTTTTCTTCAACACCTTAAGCAACTCCTTGGAGTAACTAACACCTGGAGTACAGGAGAGGAACCTGTTTTTAAGTCTAGTTCAAGCAGTGAACTGATGGAGTCACCATCCCTAGACATATTTAAAGGACATGTAGATGTGGTGCTTAGAGATGTGGTTTACTGGTAGATGTGGCTGTGCTAGGTTAATGGTCATACTTGATCTCAGAGGTCTTTTCCAACATAAACGACTCTATATATTGGGAGAGGAAGAAGGGGAGCAAACTGCTATTTAGAGTCTGAACAGAGAAATTGATTTGAGGAGAATTTGTCAAATGTGATTTTGCTGGATGTGTAAAATAATGCTGAACTTTATACTTGTCCACATTGTGGACATAAAGCATAATAATGGTATAAGAAGTGGAAGTCTTAGTTTAAATATAACTAGATTTTGAACCTTGTCACTGTTACCACAAGTTTTCATTAATTCTACTCAGACATAATTCTTCTGCAAACAAAGTAAATATATTGCTTTCCTAGCCACGCAGCTTTCACCAGAGTAGAGAGGAGAAATTAACATTGTTTGTTTGATTTCCAGCCCTGTGAAGGTAACTTTAGTAGGAGCAATTCTTTTCACCCTGCAACACAGCCAATATTTGCCAATAGCAAGACACAACCTCATGTTTTTGTACACCGTCTTTCTTGTTGTCTCCAAGGTAAGAATGTGAAAGTGTTGGAAATAACTGAATAACACAGAGTATTTTATTTCATTATTTCAGAGCAAAAAATATGCTCACAAACATTTTACTGGAAGTTAGAATGCATGCTTCTGGTTGGGAAGGCCAATTCCTACTGAAGTCTTAAACCTGTGTTTGCTCTTCAAGACATGGGCAGAGCAGAAGACCTATTCTGTTACTGATGCTGTTCGGTGTACGGGAGGGAGGGGTAGAAAGTCAGAAATTTTAGCAGCCAACAGTTGATAAACCAGGCTTTTGTGTATCTGTAATCTCAAACAAAGCTTATGCTTGTAGAAAGAAACTCTTGTTTTCTGCCTTTTGCTAACTGCTGAATGCTTTCCTTGTACCTGTGCAGTTGTGGGTTTGCAAAACAAGCCAGCTGGGCCCTCATCTAGCTTGAAGTGTTTAGATGGGAAGAGCAAGTGTATCAAAACCACTTTAAAATAGCTGTAGCTACTTTTATAATAAACTAGATGCCACTTCTCTAATGAATCCTTTAATCTCTCCAGTTCTGTTCATTTCCAGGATGATGCCTGTCTTCTGGATTATTAGCTCGTAAGAAAGTGTAGTATCAATGTGTTATCTACGAGTGTCGCAATATTAAGAGCTTCAGAGCTGTGGTTGAACAGACTGGAGTTGTAGTTTCCAGTCTTCTTTCTATGAAGTAGCCAATGAGTTTAATTCTAAAAAAGTTGCTTTAGGGAGCCAAGACTTCAAGCTGGTGTTTGTTACTCTCCATCTAAAGCAGTAAAGGCATTGTTGAGCTGGGGGTGCTGGGAATGGAAAAGGAAAGGAATGTTATTGTGGAAGTGAGAAATTACAGCTGTCTTCAGAAGCTCGCTGTCAGCCTGCACTGAAGTGAGTAAGTTCTTAAACTGATGGTTGTACTGACAATCAAGAACCTGAGCATCCGCTTAGCTAATAAACAACAGCTGTGGATTTGGCATAATCCTAAAGTAGTGTCTTGGTTTAGAAACTTTTAACGTCTCTGAAAACTGTAGAAACTGTTGCAATGTAAGTTTGTCCGGTACCTGATTACCTGGATCTACAAAACTTTTTTTTTTTTTCTGTCCTGATTCCTAGTTACATATTCTAAGGACTTTCCACGTAAATCTCTTAACTTTGTGGAATGAGTATGGCTGTCTGGAATTCTGACTAAAGTCTAGTTGTGCAAATGTATTTAGGTGCTTACACACTGCATTCTTTCAATTTAAATGGAAGTAGCCACTTCATTTACAGTTTTCCAGTTTGAACAACGAACTTATGTATAAAAGTTGCTTTTCATCTTAGTTGTGTGTCATTAAGTGTGATTTACTCTTAGGATGAATTTGATAAACTAACACAGAAAGCTTTTTATGCCCATTGGTTGTGTATTGCTGTGTGAAAAGTGTAGGTCAGAAAGAAAAGCATTCTGTGATCAAGTCAAGCTAAAATGACCATATTTGTGTTCTTGGTAGCATGGTCTCGTGCTTGTTTAGAAAGTTAGAAGTGCCATACATCCATTCAGCATTGAGCTTGTCTTCAGTTGCTGTGAAGTCATTAAAACTTTTATTGTAACTTGGTCCTTGTTCTTCATAGGTAACCATGACGTTGACAAGATCTGCAACTTCTCCACTTGCTCCATTTGAGGCTGCATTAGGCCATATATTCTTTGGCTTGCAAAAGACACCATCCAAAGCAAAGGGTGAAGGTGCTGCATCTCCCAATGGCTCTTCAGTCTGTGACCGGTCATCTTCTGAGCAGCACCGTGACAGTGTTAAGAAAAGACAGGCAAAGAAAACAGAATAAGTGGCTTAGAATCTTTAATGGTCATAAACTTTGAAGATATTTGTATTTCAGAATAGCTGGCTGAGAAATCTGTTTAAAGAATGTGAGGAGAGAACAGGCTGTGTACTACTGTGTTGTTGTTCGCCTTCAGAGTGTGTTTTGTAAGCTGCTGTTCAGATGCCTAAATGCACATTTTGTATTTACAAGTGAAAACCTGAAGATTTTTATAGTGGCTATAAGTACTAGATCTTGTATTTATGATAACTTTAAATGCTTACATGCTGAAAAGATTCAAAATGTGTCAATCAGTTTTATTATTCTTTCTTATATATCACTTGTTTCACCTCTTTCTGTTCCAACCCCAGTTCTTGTATTTTATTTGGGTAGCATGGGTTTGCACTGCCGAGTGTTTACAGTAGCATGTCCCAAAAAGTAAGTCATCAGCTCAGTAAGGCTTGCTCACATTGCACTGTAAAACCATGAAAATGTAACGAACGAATGCCTTTAACTAGAAAAATAACTGAATTACTGTCGTAATTCACATTGCACTGGTCTAGATTTTCTTCCTTTCTTTAGTAGATATTTTTAATGTTATTCTGTTTTTTAAAGTAAGAGAGAATTATATGGCACTTTTAAAATCTTTACAGTTAGTAAGTAGAAAAATTTCGATATTTTCATTCTTGCCTTACTTTATTTGCAGGCATTTGATTCATAGTTGTTTTTCTTGTTACATAGGTAACTTACGTGGGGTTTGTAAGTATATTTGGGTTTGACCAGAACTAGGCATCTCTACCTGCACTTTTATTCAAGCATATGCATTTTTTCTTTTCAAATCCAAACCTTCTTTAAAAAAGGATGGTGGACAGTACATCTACCTTGTTTCTCATGAGCTCACCCTATTATGCCTGCTGTTAATAAATACCAGCACTAGTTTGTAGCAATTATCTCTCGTGGTATAGGGCAAAAAGCTTGGTGTCACTGCTAGAATTTTGTCTCTTTTGGTCATGGGTCAGTTTACATGACACTAGATTTGAAGAGGGATCTTGCTAGAGTTAAGCCTGGGGATGACATGCCTATATTTGAGGGATGGTGTCCTAGTGAGGTCCTTCAGGCTGTCATCTCAGTGGAGGTAGGAGACAGCCATGCAACAGCAAAGACACAGGAGTTATTGATGTGTTAGAAACAATGAAAGTGCCTGAGAATTGCACATAGGAGTTACAGCTTTTCAGCCCGAAAAGGCGCTTGGATCGAAAGCCAAGCTGAAGTGCCTCTAGACCAATGCACACAGCATGGGCAACAAGCAGGAGGAGCTGGAAGCCATTATGCAGCAGGAAAGCTGTGACATAGTTGCCGTTACAGAAACGTGGTGGGATGACTCGCACACTGGAATGCTGCACTTCGTGGCTGTAGTCCCCTCTTCAGGAGGCATGTGTGAGGAAGAAGTGGTGGGTCACCTGTCTGTGTTAGTGTTTTGATTGTCTAGAGCTTGGTGACAGTGACATAGAGTTGAGTGTTCATGGGTAGGAATTATGGGAAGGATCAATAGCGGAGATGTCTTGGTCGAAGTCTGTGGTAGACCACCTAACCAGGATGAAGAAGCAGATGAAATACTGTGTAAGCACCTGGGAGAAGTCTCACCGTTACGAGCCGTTGTTCTCATGGGGGACTTCAGCTTGCCAGATGTCTGCTGAAAATACAGCACAGCAGATGAAACAGTCCAGGAGCTTCCTGGAGTGTGTGGAAGAGACCTTCCTGAGAAAGCTGGTGAGGGAGCCAACTGAATGGTGAAGGAGCCCAGGAAGACTGGCCATTCTTTGAGAAGATCTTCAGGGTGTGTGAGCAGGTCATCCCCATGTGCTGAAAGACAAATCAGTGGGGAAAACGACTGACCTGGCTGTACAGAAAGCTTTGGCTGGAACCTCAGGGAGAAAAGAGAATTTATGACCTTTGGAAGAAGGGGCAGGCCACTCAGGAGGACTGTGAGTATGTGAGTTTATGCAGGAAGAAAATTAGAAGGGCTGAATCCTGGCTAGAACTTAACCTGGCTACTGCCGTAAAAGACAACAAAAAATGTTTCTGTAAATAAGTTACTAACAAAACGAGGGCTAACGAGAATCTCCATCCTTTACTGGCTGCAAGGAAACATGGCAACAAAGGATGAGGAAAAGGCTGAGCTGCTTAATGCGTTCTTTGCTTCAGTCTTTAATAGTAAGACCAGTTGTTCTCTGGGTACCCAGCCCCCTGAGCTGAGGTAGACAGGAGCAGGGAGCAGCATGGAGACCCCATAATCTTAGGGGAAATGGTTAGCAACCTGCTACAACACCTAGACGTAAGTCTGTGGGGCTGGGCGAGATCCACCTAGGGGTACTGAGGGAGCTGGCCAAGTACTCACCAAGCCACTTTCCATCATTTTTCAGTAGTCCTGGCTAACCACAGAGGTACCAGTGGGCCAGAGATTAGCAAATGTGATGCCCATCTACAAGAAGGGCCAGAAGGAGAATCTGAGGAACTACAGGCCTGTCAGTCTGACCTTGGTGCCAAGGAAGATTATAAAGCAGATCATCTTAAGTTCCATTACATGGCATGTGCAGGACAATGAGGCGATGAGATCCAGTCAGCACAGGATTAACGAAAGACAGGTCCTTCTTGACTAACCTGATGTCCTTCTATGATAAGGTGACCCATTTAGGGGATGAGGGAAAGGCTGTGAGTGTTGTCTATCTGGACTTTAGTAAGGCCTTTGACGCTGTTTCCCACAGCATTCTCTTGGAGAAACTGGCTGCTCATGGCTTGGATGGGTCTACCATTCACTGGGCGAAAAATTGGCTGTCTGGCTGGGCCCAGAGTGTGGTGGAGAATGGAGTTAAATCCAGTTGGCAGCTGGTCACAAGTGCTGTTTGCAGGGCTCAGTGCTGGGGCCGGTTCTGTTTAATATTTTTATTGATGATCTGGACAAGCGGATTGAGTGCACCCTCAGTCATTTTGCAGGTGACACAAAGCTAGATGGGAGTGTTGATCTGCTTGAGGATAGGAAGGCTTTACAGAGGGATCTGGACAGGCTTGATCAAGGGGCTGTGAGACCAATTGTATGAGGCATTCATCAAGGCCAAGTGTAGGGTCCTGCACTTGGGTCACAACAAGTCTACAAAGTGCTACAGGCTTGGGGAAAAGTGGCTGGAAAGCTTCCTGGTAGAAAGGGACTTGAGATTATTGGTCGACAGCTAGCTGAATATAAGCCAGCAGTGTGTCCAGGTGGCCAGGAAGGCCAACAGCATCCTGTATTAGAAATAGTGTGGCCAGCAGGACCGTGGCAATGATTGTCTCTTTGTACTCAGCACTCATGAGGCCATACCTCAACTCCTGTGTTCAGTTTTGGGTCCCTCCCTCCAAGAAACACGTGGAGTGCTGGAGCGTGTCCAGAGAAGGCCAACAAAGCTGATGAAGGAACTAGAGCACAGGTCTTAGGAGGAGCAGCTGAGGCAACTGTACCTGTTCAACCTGGAAGCTAAGGGGAGACCTTACCACTTTCCACAGCTCCTTGAAAGGAGGTTGTAGTGAGGTGGAGGTTGGTCTTTTCTCCCATGTGGCTGATAGGACAAGAGGAAATGGCCTCAAGTTAGGCTGAGGGGGTTTAGACTGGATATTAGGGGAAACTTCTTCTTGGAAAGGGTTGTGAGGCATTGGGACAGGCTGTCCCGTGAAATGGTTGAGTCACCATCCCTGGAGGTATTTAAAAGATGTGTAGATGTGGTGCTTAGCAACATGGCTTAGACGTGGACTTGGCAGTATTAGGTTAATGGTTGGACTAGATCTTAAAGGTCTTTTCCGACCTAAATGATTCTATGATTCTATAATATCAGAAACATAGGAACTGTTTGCTGAACTCTGCTGCTTCCTGCTCGTTGCATCTTTGAACATGCTATGGAGCAGTTCTAAGTGGCATACGCTTCAGAACTGCAGACTTTGATATTTTAGAGGTACTATACTTCTTTAGAATCTTTTCAGAGTATTCTTCCATCAATGTGCCATTTTTTGGAATAAAACTCTTTTTACAGGATTAGATTATTTGTCTTCACGAGTACTGCTTTGAAGAGTGTTCTTCAGCAAGAGGTGATATGTTAATCTTTGTGCAGGGAAATCTGATTTGAAAAGACAAAGTTCTAGTTCCAGGTACATATCTAAGTTTAAAAGTATTGTCACCAGTGCTGTGCTTAGAGAAAGAAAAGAAGAACCCAAGAAATTTCTTGTGCCTGTCTAGTCGTATTTCCATGGTAATGACCAAAACCGTTGAGCTCCTCAGTTTGGAATCTAACTTCATAGCAAATGTGCTGTACCTGGAAAGCTAAAATGAATTTTTTCTTCAACAGAGATGAATAATTAAACAAACCAAAATGAGAACAACTCCCCCAACTCTTGAGACAAGGTGGCAATCATATTCCTGACATTTTAAGATGAAACTCAGAGTACAGTTATAAATGCTTGGAGTATTCACTTGTGGAGTGTCTCAGGTTTTTGCCGCTCAGTATCATGGATATATGGGACAAACTAACTTATTAATGATCAACTAGTTCTTCAGCAACACCAGCACAACTTGTATGTTCACGTTTTTTAAAACTTCTGGATGTTTTTTTTGAAAAGGTATAATTGTGTATACTAGGTCACAAGAACCTCAGAGAATTGGACTGTGGTATGGAACTGTGTTGCACAACTGTGAAATACTGGCTACTCTTAGCCCAAATAAATGATAAAATAGGTTTAAACTAATTGTATAAGAAGTTTAAAATTTAAAGGAAAATATATGCTTTTGTATTAATTTTGGACTTAAAGATGACAATATTAAAATTTAAAAAAAACTTGTTTTTCTTGACTGAATACCTTAAGAAAAAAACACATCGCACTGAAGATGTATATTTATTATGAAGCAGAACATAAGTTATGCTGAAAGAAATCCTGTTGTGAGCATGAAAACAAACCTGTGTGTTTGATATCATAGGCTTCTGAAGAATGGGTTCTCAGAATGA